CCCTCTGTGAAGGGATGAGGATGACATTTCTTTCTGACTGACAGGATTTTGTCTCTTTGTGAACGAGAATCAGAATCATAGAGCAGGAAACTGACTTTTCTTCTCCACGAATGACCTCATGTTGTTATGAATTATTATTTTTTAATCCTCACCCGATGATAAGTTTATTGATTTTTAGACAAAGGACAGGGGGTGGGGGAGCACCAACCAGCTGCCTCCTGTCCACACCCCGACCAGAGATCAAATCCACAAGCTTTTGGTGCAGGGACCAACACTCCAACTAACTGAGTTACCTGGCTAGGGCTGAATTGTTTTTTTCACCTTAAATCCAAGGGCAGGAAAAATAACGCTCAGTTTAAGTTATCAGCTCACTTTAAAAACAGTACTTGAAAAAAATAATCCACTTGTGGACTAAACTTTTTAAGTCTTTAAAGAAAGCAACAATTTTTTTTAATTGAAAGAAATAGTAGTACTGATTTTGAAAAGACTGTTGCTGTCATGGTGGTTTATTAGGTAAATAGGAAGTAGAGGCTCTTGTTTTTTTGTGTTTTTTTTTTTTTTTTAAAGCAAAGCCAAAGAGACTAGAAACCAAGTACACATATGTCTTCAGAATAAAAACATAAATTAGTTTTAACTAACAATTAGGCACTTAAAATGTAAATGTAAAATGGCATTTTGAAGTACAAACTGTAGTTATACTTCTAAATTCCTCCTGAAATGTTTTTACAAATACAAAAGCACAAGCATGGAAAACATACTTCTAAACAAAGATAATTTCCTTTAAAAAAAAAAAAAAAAAAAAAAAAGTCCTGAATTCAAATCCCATGATAGACCAATGATTAAGGTACCGGTGGGTAGGAGAAAAGAGCTTCTGAAATTCACATATTTGATTAAAACAAAAGCATTTAATAAAACTATAATAATAACATACAGTATATATAATAATGAAAAATATATGTCAGGAAAATAATGCATTCTAGGCTTAAAATTTTACTTTACAACAAGGCACTTAACACATTGGAACAGTACAGTAAGTTTCTGAAAGAAGACAATAGGCTACACCTCTCAAATCTCGCAGTCATATTTCTTTTGAGGACATACCATAACATAACCATACATTTTGCAGCATTAATCATTGCATAGGAGGTAAATTAAATAATGAATCCCAACTTGGCAACAAGATTAGCTTATATTTATAGCTTCCTCTTATTCTTTTAAAGGACAATTTTTAAATAATTCCAGAATAAAGAACTAGTCTCATTCATGATTCATTTAGAACACAGCATAGTAAATTAATGAATCACAAAACAGATCCCAACTTATAAGGTGTAAATCTATCGAAAAACTTATCTTTGGGCACCTTAGACACAATTTTCAGTGTTTAGATATTGAAGTCAAGAGCACTTCTTAACAGACAAAATATTTTTAGCAAGTAAATCAAATGAGTTAAATTATTGCAACACAATGACATTAGACAAAAATGCTAGGAATCTTTATACATACAGACAGAAAAACCTTCAACACATGGCATATTACTTTTAATATGCTTGATTTAAACATGCACACACATTTAATTCCTTCTTTCACTTCCTGTGCTAAGACCGGCTTAAATTTTTAATCGGTTTTACAGTGCAAAACAAAAATAAACGATAAAAAAATAATTCAAAAAAAATGTTCAAAGTATTCAAGGAACAAGATGTGAACTTTCAATAAAAAAAGAAAACTGCATGAGTTCTATCTAACATGTAAAATAAATAAAGGCAGCCAACTTGGTGTTTCGAAGTAAACAAAGTGTCGGTTATAAAGGGAGACATTAACGATTGTGACAGTGAGAGGTAAAAATGGCCTGCAAATTTTCTTCAATCAAATGGATAAAAGATTAGAATTGCAACTCCCTGTGATATAAGTACATTTTCCCTTTGGGAAAGGTTTAAAATACCTTTAACATAATTCCTTTTGCATTATGCTTTCAAGATTATTGGCAAAAAAAATAAATAAAAAACATACGCCTTTTAAAAACTTGAAAATACACTTTAAAAAGTGGCAGGTTTGCGTTCAAAGTCATATAACGTATTTCCACTAGGGGACGCTGGTATGCAGCCCAAGAACCTAATGCAAAGTCATCCATAAAGCAGACTAGACTCGCCTTTACTCAAAACGGCCTTCCAAAGCAAAACTTGTTTTCCAAGATGCCAGTGAACTTTATAAATTCCAAATTACTTCCATGGGATTTGAGGAAGAATGCTTTATTTCCAGAACTAGTGGAGGAGCTCCAAAATTACAATGAGAGGAATTCATTTCCATTTCAAAGAATTTAGGAAAGAAGTAGTATAATTTAAAGGAATTATATGCATAAGGGACTAAATTATAGGAAAAGCTTCCAAGAGGAGCACTAGTTCACAAAAACAATAATTGGTAGGATGTTATGTCTTGATTAGCAAGGAAAAGGAGCTCCAGAAGTTTATTGTTTCAAAGACAAGATCGAATTCTTTTTTTAAAACAAAAAACAAAAACAGAGATATAAGGGACGTATTAATTTCAGGTTTACAATATGATGATTTGCTATTTCTATATACTGTGAAATGATCACCACCCTAAGTCTAGCAATGGTTCACATTTCATATTCCAAAGTGGCATGTTGAGTTAGATCTCAAGTTTGCTTCCCTAAATGTAAATGAGATTCACTCTTCTCACCTTTCCACCTTGAAACCTTCACCCTTGTTGTGGTACCACACGCTTCCGCAGCGTCTGGGAGACAGCTACGGCACACACTGCCAGGAACACGGGGCAGCAGTGCCCACAGGCGGAGTCAGAAGCTTTTTTTTTTACAAGTTCTTTAAAAGGTGATGGCATTATTTAAAAACAAAACTAGTTACCTGGCTAAAATGCAAGTGTTACAATTTCGAGGGCCTCCTGCAACCAATGCACCAGGATTTTAAAAGCTTAAATATGTCCCCTAATTTAATTTGATGAAGAGGGGGCTCTCTCAGACAGACCAGGCTGCCTCACTGAAAGCAGAGGCTCCATGGACCGGTGTCAGGAGAGCCAGGCCCAGGCTTCCGAGCCAGATGTTCTTCCTCACAATCAGACTGCAGGAATTTAACCTCCGTGTCTTCACACGGAACACCTTGTTTTTTCACTCGTGCCCATGCTTAGTATGCGAAAATGATGGGGGGTTCCAGCTAACCATCTGGCAAGGTATGGTTATGTTTCTTACTGGCTTAGTGATAAATACCAGAAGAACTTCTTGCATTTCAAAACCTGTCAAGAAGGTTTAAGGATTTTTGTTTCTTGTTTTAAATACCAGGTGAGAGATGCTTCCTTCCTGGTGCTGCATTCAGCTACGTGTCCTTTAGTGATTCTTCTAGCACACAGGCCAGGCGCCACACGGGAAGCACAGAGAATGTTAGCACCAAAGGATCGTGACCCGTCCTGAACACATTTAGGTTTGTTCTGTGCTTCACTCAAGTAATTTAAAGGTCCGTTTTGTACATCCAATCAGGGGCTGACTAGTTCATGACATGTTCAGGGGTGGTTTCTGTTGTTTTGTTGTTTGCTTTTCCTTCTACGTGGTGGGAAATGTTTACCTTCAATGTCAGTGGAGCTTTCTTCCCTCAGAGTCAGCCTCTCTCGTCTCTGTGGGGATGACTGTGTAACTTTAGATCTTTGCCTAAGGCCTTAGAAGTTGTAAGAAATTAAGAACTGTCTGCAGTCCCAACAGCATGAAACCATGCACGAACTCTGACAGCGTTAAGTCTGATCCAGTCCCTCTCTGTTTGCATCTCCTGAGAGAACGTTAGGAACAACGAGCCCCGGTATCGACTAGCTGCACTCACAGCTGGATTCCAACGGCAGGTTTCGAGTGCAGCACCGCGGTGTGACTTCAGGGTCAGAGTAAAATGACTCCATGGTGGTGTGTCTCCTTAGTCCTTCCTTCCTATAATAAACACCCCGTTTACAGGAAGCTGGGCCTCTTGCAAAAAAGGCAAGGGTGCATTCATTAAACTTTTGGACCCCGTCTTGCTTTTCCCATAAAGCAGACTGTAACCAGGAAGAAGTGGGTCTAGTGAAATGTGACCAATTGCATGTCTGAGCTCCAATGAGCAGCCCTCAAACAGACCTCACCCGGGGGGGAGAAATGCAGGCTTGTTCCCCACGTGGCACGGGCAACCGTTTGCCCACGCGTTGTTCAGCCTGTGCCCGGCCGTCGACCGCCCTGGGGCACCGGGTGCGAATGTGCCGGGCAGACGGCAGGGCAGGGCGCACACAGGGACCGCTGTGAGCGGACACAGCCCTGTACCCTGTGCATCTGTCACGGAGCTCTGAGAACTAAATATTTACATCCAAGCAAACTCTGTGGGATGTGCCAAATATTCCCATATTGACTTAGATCACATTTCTTTTAACGTTTTAAATAAAATGATCTGTTTAAAAAAAATAATAATAAAGTAAAGGGGACACACAGTACCTCGGGTGGTAGCAGCAGTACGTATCCGCAGACCTGACCCTGATGACCCTGATGAGGGCGGGGGGAATACGTTCACCCCAAGTTTACTCACAACCCCTGCGTCTCCCCCCTCCTTGAGAGGCCCAATGCTCAAATCCACTCTGGACATCAGGCTATTCTAGTGACGCGGCGGTTGTATCCGCCCAGATAGTTTATTGAAAACCTTGGCAGGTTCTTTTCGTTGGAGGAAAAATCCTGAAAAAAAAAACGCTTCGGTGGAGAAAGACGCAGGAAAGGCGGCGTGTTCTTTGGAGGCACCTCTTCACAAGCTCGCCAGGAAGTCCCGGGGGAGGAAGAGCCACAGGAGAGGCCTTTCTCGGGAGGCATAAAAAACCAGTTCATCTTTCTAACCATTTACACAAAATTTGGTCCACGTCTTCAATGACCAGTCAGTTCTCCTAACGTAAAAAAAAAAAAAAAAACACACAAAACTATACCTTTGGTTACAGCGACACCTCTTTTGGCGTAAGAGCCGAAGCCGTGGCGTGGCTCCTCAGGTAGATTTCTCGCTGTCCTCCCCGATCTTCTGGACCCGGGAGTACTTCTTGCACGAAGACTTAAAGCAGCCGGGAGGCCAGGAGAGCGGCCAGGAGAAGCAGCAAGGAATCGAGCCTTGTACGTTTTTCTCAAAAAAATAGAAGATGGGGAACCACCATGCACGCGATAGGAAATTAGTCTGCGAAGAGACCTTCAGGTTCTGCAAAAGGCGGGGGGGAAGGTAAAATGAGCCGTGTTCTCCATGCATCCCGATCCCCCCCCCCTTCATTAAACTGTCACTGCTGTAGCAGCATCCAGACCCCAAGGCACACTGTCCGCGCCTCCTCTCGACTCAGATGTGACCTGGTCCCACCCCTCTCCAGCCCCTCCGTCCTCCCTCCTGTGGCTCATGCCAATCGCCTGCCTGCAATTCCAGCCACAACGGGGCCTGAGGAATGCAGGTGGCAGTTTCCCAGGAGGAACAGCTTTCAGGAACCGAGTCGTCGGATGTGTGGGTCAGGGAGGTGGCAGAGGGAGAAGAGCGCTCACAAGGGTGGGCTCTTTTAAGAGGAAAAGATACGAGTTTGGTTCCGTGGTGTCAGCTGAGTGGAAGATGGCAACAGGAGACTACCCAACGGGAAACAGAGCTGCGAGACAGATCTGCAGCGAGGGCCTTTATCAGTGGGCACCTCTACTTGAGAATTGGACTTGGAGCCTTTGGGAAGGACACATTTCAGTCTTTCCCAAACCCTCCAAACGCTGCATGCAACGGACAAAATGGCAAGACGACCCCAGGGTAGGTCATGGCACACAGACTAACGGCTGGACATGCACCAAGGCTAGGAAAGCACAGGGAGGGGAGGAACAATTCCGTCTGGGGACTAGCGGCAGGGAGCGGAGCCCGGGAAGGCTTCCCAGATCAGGTGGCCTTGGAGCAAGCTCTCTCAGAATGTGTGGGAGAAGAAAAAAGTGCAACTGCAAACAGGATGCAGCAGAAACCAAATAAGAAAGAAGGCAGAGAGCACCACATCCCCAAAAGAGGCACTAACCCCGCTTATTTATAGGGGCTGTATCTGCCTGGCTTCCCAAAACAGGTGCCAAGTTGTTCTCAAGCTTAAGTTCTCTGAAGGCAAGGGTTTGCCTAATTGCACCTCAGTGCTGCTACAGAGAAGGTGCCTGCATTTAAAAAAAATATATATATATTTTTGCCAGGACCGGTTTGGCTCAATGGATAGAGCGTCAGCTTGGGGACTGAAGGGTCCCGGATTCGATTCCGGTCAAGGACATGTACCTTGGTTGCGGGCATATCCCCGGTAGGGGTGTGCAAGAGGCAGCTGATCGATGACTCTCTCTCATCGATGTTTCTAACTCTCTATCCCTCTCCCTTCCTCTCTGTATAAAATCAATAAAATATATTTTTAAAAAAATATATATATTTTATTGATGTATCCCCGGTAGGGGGTGTGCAATAAAATATATTAAAAAAAATATATATATATATAAATATATAAAAAATATATATAAAATATATTAAAATATATATATATAAATATATATATAATCAATAAAATATATTTAAAAAATATATATATTTTATTGATTTTTTACAGAGAGAAAGAGAGAGGGATAGAGAGTTAGAAACATCGATGAGAGAGAATCATCGACCAGCTGCCTCTTGCACACTCCCTACCGGGGATGTGTCCGCAACCAAGGTACATGCCCTTGACCGGAATCAAACCCGGGACCTTTCAGTCCGCAGGCCGATGCTCTATCCACTGAGCCAAACTGGTTTTGGCATGTGCCTGCACTTTCATTTAGCATGTGCTCTTCTTTAATTCTCATATAAATTACTGAAGGTGAATTATTATAACATTGTGCTCTGTAATCATACATTTTTGTCCTTAAATGTTATTTATACTTGTGACGTTATTTATTTTAAGACGCAATAATGGCTATAAGTGCAAGAACTGAACCGAGCTAACCACACGCCTGGGCAGCAACAGCAGCCACTCCCACTGAGCCACCAAAGCCCCGCTGTACGAAGGGGCTATTTATCCGAGGGCCGCCTGGGCGCTCTCACCTTCTCGTTGGCCATCGAGTGGTACCACCAGAACAGCCGCGTGGTGATGTAATAGGCAACGATGACGTCGACCGTGTAGTGCTCGTGAGCGACGAGGATGCAGATGATCCCGGCGGCGCTCAGCAGCCAGCAGACCAGGTGGTACCACCAGAAGTGCCGGGGCGAGTCTGCGCGGGAGAGAACCGGAGGAATGAGGTCCCCAGAGAGGAGCTTACTGACCTGTCCCTCCTACGGGCCTCAGGCAGAACAAGTCTTCGGAGGTGGGAACTAATAACCCAAAACGAGTGGCTGGGACAGCCCAGGGCTCGCTCAGGAAGGAAGGAAGGAAGGAAGGAAGGAAGGAAGGAAGGAAGGAAGGAAGGAAGGAAGGAAGGAAGGAAGGAAGGAAGGAAGGAAGGACGGGGAGAGGGGATGCCACAGGGAGCAGGTGTAAGAGTGGATGTCACACATATTAATAACTCCACTGTCTGTGGGACCCTAGCCCAGCTGTCAGTGAACAGAGACAACGGACTTGGAGTGGTAGCAAGGTTAAAAAGGTGTCTTCGCAACCAGCAGGACACAGGGTACGAGGAGCCAGGCTGATTCTATAGAAACCCAGGCCCAATGACAGTATCTGCCCCCCCGGGGGGAGGGGGGGAGCCTTCTGAAGTGGCCCTGCTCCCACGTTTTCACCTGCCCGTGTGACTGAATTCAAACCCACTCACGGCCACGGCACAAAGGAGGAGGAGTCCAAATTGGTCAAAAGGCGGGAAAGCAAAACAGGCATAAACGATGCATCGAATCCCAGAAGCAGGCTGTCCCGAGAGACCACTGGGACCCCCTGCTCACTCAGGACGACGGCACATGTATAATTTAGAAAGTGACTGTTTCCCCAATTGCATAGGACACGGGGGCATAACCATGGAGTGCCCTGCTGATGTGGAGAGCTGGCTTTAAAGCTGAGTTGTATTAAGATAACAGATTTGCCGTTTTACTTCAAAGACTGGAACGAGGAGAATGTAATTCTTTCCTTGCTCTATGGAAACCTACACAATTGAAAAGATCTCAAGCCAGCCCTGGCCGGGTAGCTCAGCTAGTTAGAGCCGTCTTCCCACCAAGGTTGTGGGTTTGATCCCCAGGCAGGGCACACACAAGAAGCAACCCATGGATGCATCAATAAGTGGAACAACAAATTCTCATATTCTCTCTCTCTCTCTCTCTCTCTCTCTCTCTCTCTCTCACACACACACACACACACACACACACACACTCACACACACACACCTCTATCAATTCTAACAGAATAAGGGCTTCCACCAGTTTCAGCACCCAGCGGTCCCTCCCACTGCAATGACCCACCAAGCGGGGATGAGTTACTCACATTCTTTAATGAACAGATACGTCAGCGTCAGCACGACCGTGTGGCCGCTGAAGAGGAAGTCTCCGCACAGGATGTGCGAGCCCGTCATGGACAGCCCTCCCCCGGAGATCAGCCGCAGGACCCGCTGCACTTTGGCCTGAGAGTCTCCGTTGAGCTGAGTGACCCAAGAAGATGGGGAGGAGAATTTCACAAGCTGATGAAATCGTGTTCCAGCCTGATCTACGTGATGCTTGGAAAGCTCACCAGGTTGCGACTTTTCTTTTTTTAACTTAAAAAGTAAAAAAGAATCCCTGGGGGGAAGTGCCCAAACTTGGCTTCTATTCATTATATTGGCCGGTTTTAGTGACAGGCTTTTAATTATTCAATACGTTACTAATAATACATTTTGGCGGCACCGTATCCTGAGCAAAGCTTTTAAAAACATTAATAACGATGACCTCACCACAGCTATGTGCAAAAAAAAAAGATCGAAGCTACGCTCTTCCCTCCTTGCCGGGGGGTGTCATGGTTTCGATGGTTAATATTTGATTTAGCTGAATAGCACCTCACTAATATTGAACAGTGTGTTCGTACCTTGTGTTAAGTGGGCAGTCCGAGTGTATAGATAGCTAAATTAAGATTTGATCAAACAGGGAAGCTGCAAAAGGGAAGCTGCAACACTTTAAGTAATTTTGGAAATAATGGATTAGCGATGTATTGACAGCTTTAAACATGAGTAGCCCTGATCAGGCAAAATATCCCCAAAGATATTTCCTGTGGCCAGGAAAGAGCTCCCCAGGGCAAGGACACAGAAGCCATCATGATGGTATGGGAAACAGTGATGGGCCGGGCAGGAGTTTGAGGCAATAGTCAAGCTTGTAGCCATTAACACATAAGCCTACAAGGAGGCGGAGTGGGCCGAGGTGCTCCATTCGGTGGGGGTGGAAAAGTGAAATACTGACATTCTGGGAGGCCAGAGGGAGGATTTAAGATCAATCTAGAATAAACTATGTTTAGAAAAATAAAGGGTGGTACTCATAAATAAGACTGAGAAACAGCACATGAGAAGAGAATTATAGGCAGAGCATTAATGACTATTTTGGGGACCTGAGGGAATAGCTGAATGACAGGAGGCCCTTTATACTCAACACTGACCCTCCGGGCAGCCGTCCCCACAGCACGGCCAGCTCTCCACGGCGGCGGCTCAGCTGTGTGGCGGGAAGGACAGGGGAGTCTAGTCCAGGAAGACGTGTGGCGGTGAAGGGGGGGAGACGTGAGAGAAGGATGAGAAGAAAGTCCAGGGGCAGGGAAATGAAGGTAGCCTCAAGCACGCGGAAACCCATCCCATCCAGGACAGTGGGAATTGGGGCAGGAGAGCTGGCCTAAACACCCACAACGGGAGCCTAAACCTTTCCCCAGGGATAGCCACCTGATGGGCCTGGGGAGCTTTCCGGTGAACCTTGTGGAAAAGCCCACACCACGATCGTTAGCAGCTGAGAAAAAGACGTCAACCAGGATCACAGGGCAGGCTGGAGGCTGGGGTTTTGCAGAAATTTAACCATCAAAAGTTTGCTTAGGGCCAAAACCAGTTTGGCTCAGTGGATAGAGCATCGGCCTACGGACCAATAGGTCCCGGGTTTGATTCCGGTCAGGGGCATGTACCTTGGTTGCAGGCACATCCCCAGTGGGGGGTGCGCAGGAGGCAGCTGATGGATGATTCTCTCTCATCGATGTTTCTAAACTGTCTATCCCTCTCTCTTCCAGGACGGCTGACAACTCAGGACTCGACTCAGGTGCAGCTGCGAGACGTGCCGCCAGCCACATGCAACTGTGCGGAGGACACGATCCGGCCACGTGCCTCATCGGACGAACCACAGCCCTTGAGGAATGTGTCACACGGCTGGTGCAAACAACTGTCAACTCTGAGATCAAATAAGGTCCTACGCTCTGCTCCCAGTTTAAAAGGACACGTTATTCTTTATTTCAAAACCTAATCATTTTTTTTAATTTACTCTCTCATCCCAACTCAATACTCTAGCTTTCTAAGAGCAGAAGCACTTGGAGCCATTCCAGGCTAGATGACCCCAAGGCACATACAAACTAGGAGCCGAAACAAGCAGACACACTCCTCTCTTTCAGCTACTCTGCTGAATGGAGCTTGAGAGCACCTGACGCAATACCCTCCACAGGACAGAGGGGGGCACTCTCTCCTCGCCGGCTCTCTCAGGCCTTGGTCCCTCAGGGAGTCACCCTTAGAAGTCAGATCACACCCAGAATAAATAGAACCTCCAAACAAAAAGGTTTTTTGTTTTTTTTTTAAATGTAGAAAGAATCCTGAGAAATGGGGGGGACAATTAGGGAAATACTGGATTGTTTCCTCCTTCTGTTCTAATTCTCGTCTAGTTCACTGGAACCCCCATCACACACCACATAAGAACCCAGTTCCGCCAAATCCAGTTTGGCTCAGTAGACAGAGCATCGGCCTGCGGACTGAAGGGTCCTGGGTTCGATTCCGGTCAAGGACATGTACCTTGGTTGCGGGCACATCCCCAGTAAGGGTTGTGCAAGAGGCAGCTGATTGATGATGCTCTCTCATCCATGTTTCTAACTCTCTATCCCTCTCTCTTCCTTTCTGTAAAAAATCAATAAAATAATTTAAAAAAAAAAGAAAAAGAAAAAGAAAAAAGAACCTAGTTCCTATTCCTTCCCTCATTTTTCAGACACTATTCTATGCCATCACAGCAGGGGCGGGGAACCTTTTTTCTGCCAAGGACCATTTGGAGATTTATCACATCATTGGCGGGCCACACAACATTATCAACTTAAGCGTTGGCCTGCTGTATTTGGTCAAACACTTAATTAGCTGCCCCCTAAGGCCTTGGCAGGCCCAGACCAAACAATCTGGGCCTGCTGGCTGGACATTCTCCACACCTGCACCGCTGACCATGGAACTGAAGATGCAGAAAGCTGAGAGGAGAAGCATCAATCATAACAGCCAAAGCAGATGGGGCTCAGTGACCTTCAGGACTCCTCAAACTCTGACCACCACACCCCGTTTTCCACAAAAATAAATAAGGTTCAAGAGAGCCCAGCCTGACGACTGCCAAACCAGAAACCTTCCCCTGCACACGTCCCTTCAGCGAAGGTAAGTGCAGCAGCAGCCGCAGCCAGGGTGACGGGGGGCTTCTCGGGGCAGGGGCTGTAACTGTGCCAGCCCAGCATGCTTGTATGCGGCCACACGGGCTTAACGAGCTACGTAATTTCATGCACAATTTATTTATTTATTGTTATTTTTTAAAATATATTTTACTGATTGTTTACAGAGAGGAAAGGAGAGGGAGAGGAAGTTAGAAACATCGATGAGAGAGAAACAACATCGATCAGCTGCCTCTTGCTCAACCCCCACTGGGAATGTGTCCACAAGGTACATGCCCTTGACCGGAATCGAGCCCGGGACCTTTCAGTCCAAAGGCCAATTGCTCTATCCACTGAGCCAAACCGGTTTCAGCTCATGTGCAATTTATTTAAACACACTTTTCAGAACAAAGGTTTTGTGACTGCCAACAAAAGCTTGGGCTGGTGGCTTAACGCAAATCACAAACAGAGGACTTAAGGGAAACCAGAGGATAGGTATGGGGCAAGGAAGGAAGGAAGACCCTGAGAGCCACGATGTCCCCAGGGACCCAGAGCTGTGATGGCTGCTGGGGTGGCCACAGCCGGCGAGAAGCGAGCTGGGTTAGGCCTCAGCGAGGAGACCTGACATCCCCCCACAGCAAGTGGTGTCAGTACACACAGCTCTGCCATTGCCTGCAGCCTTGAAGGGTGTTCTAGAGAGTCAGCAACAAAGGAGGCAGGCAGATGACCTAGTAGCCTGGTAACAACACTCGACGGAGCACTGGAAGCCACATGCGGGATGCAATTCTGATTCCTGGTCTAACACAGCGATTGCTTCTGTCGAACAGCGCGGCCATGTCTGCCTCACTGAGTCACAGGTCGGGCACCCGCCTGCTCAGACTCCAGGAGCGCGGGGGCTGGTTGGGAAGGATGCCGCCAGAGCCCCCGCTGTCTGTGTGGCCGGGTTATCCAGGGCGACGTTTGCTAACGTGGCTTCTGGAAATGGCGGCTCCTCCACCGAAGACACTGTCTGTCCGTAATCACCCCTGCAAACCTCACCCGTCACTAGGATGGATGCCTGCCTTTTCCCCCTGAGGCCGTTCCTCCATTTACCACGTGGCAAGAACCCCTTAGAAATGTTTATTATGCTTCTGAACTTCTCCTGTGCCTTAATTTAGCTCCGCTAAAAAAAATCAGCCAATGTTTAAATTCAATATGTACACGGCTTTAATCACAGACACTCTCTGCTTTGACGGCTTCGGAAAATTACAGCTTCTCCAAACCACACCTATATTTGGGGCGGGAGACAGCTGACTGCTCCACAACAACTCTGTTTTTCCGTCCACCTTGGACATCTGCTTAGTATCCAGTGAAATACGGTGTCAGACTCCATCCCCTTGTCCAGGGAGCACAGGCAGGATCTGTAAGTCTCCTTTGTTATAAACAAGGGTGCACCGGGGCCGGGATGATTAAAATCTCTCTCGAGAAGGGACTCTCCCTAGCGAAGCTGTAAATCCTGCTTAAGGCAGCTTCAGTACCTCAGACTGTCTCCGCAAAAGGCCACTCTGCCTTTCCAACTGCTGAAAACTGGGGTCTTGGCTTCTTTCTCTTAAACCCGTATCTTACTTATTAGCACAACCAGCTGGCCCCACCTTCACCATGTCCCAAAGGGAACGACTCCTCACTTCTTACTCACTTGCCACGACCATGGTTCAAGTGCCTGTGATGGCCAGGAGCCCCCATGGGATCTGTGGCTGCACCACCTTGATCTACACAGTTCCATCAGCCGCATGACCTCTTTTCTCTCTCCCCCTTCCCCCCTCTCCCCCTCTCCTCCTCTTCCCCTCTCTCCCTCTCCTCTCCCTCCTCCCTCTCTCTCTCTCTCTCTCTCTCTCTCTCTCTCTCTCTCTCTCTCCCTGACTGAGCTGTTTCCTCGGCCCAGGGCTCTCACCCCGTCCACAGGCTCCCTCCCTCCTGTGATTGCTACCCAGATGCTTTCTCATTGAAGGGGCTTTCTGACTCCTCTGCAAACTAACAACTACCCTCACAGTCCCTTTCACTGGGATTCAGGTTTACCATGCATCTGATAGCTGCCTGGCTTATCACCATGTGACAAGTTATACAGTTCTTTTTAAAAATAAGTTCTTATTGATTTTAGAGAGAGAGAGAAAGGGAGAAGGATAGAGAGACAGAAACACTGATGAGAGAGGATCTGCTGCCTCCTGCATACCCCCACTGGGGGTCAAGCCCGAAACCTGGGCATGTACTCTGCCAGGAATCAAACTGCAATTCCTTGGTGCATAGAGTGACGCTCAATCACTGAGCCACAATTTATACATTTATCCGTTGTCATCCCTCAATAGAATGTAAGCTGTAAGGGAAGAACTGTTTTAGTCACTGCTGCTACACAGTGCCTGGAACATAACAGGAGCGGAGCACTTGCAGAATGAATGCATAGGCCAATAAATAAAGGTACAACAGTGGAGTCAAATTCCCAACAGCAACTTTGAGGTAGCAGAAAATGAATTTTTTATGTATGAAGATACACATCTTATGAACACATTTTAATTTTCTTACCCCTAAATCTAAAGAAAAACAGAAAATGTCCTATATAATAAAAGCCTAATGTGCTAAGTGCCCAGTCGTCCGTTGTTCAATCATTCAAAGCTTAACATGCTAAGGTATGCTAAGGCTGCTCAACTGCTTGCTATGATGTTCACTGACCACCAGGGGGCAGACACTCTGACCGGTAGGTTAGCTTGCTTCTGGGATCTGGCAGATCAGATGAGGACTGAGTGAGACAGACAGGACATGCCCTGGAGCCCTCCTGTGCAGTCAGTCCCTCCCCGGCTGGCCAACCTTCCACATCCCTCAGCCTGGCCTATGCCCTCTCGCAATCCAGGACCCTTCAGAGGATGTCGGAGAGCTGGTTTTGGCCAGATCCCACAGGCCGGACCAAGGGACCCCACTGGTGCATGCCTCCAGTCCTATACAATATTTCAGTTAACAGGTGATAGTGTTTTGAAGACCGTAACAGAGAGCAGGTGTTTAGTAAGTGTTTTCAGTCGGAGGTGCTTACCTTCGGAGCGCACTGGAAGTGCATGCCAGGCACGGGCAGCGTGGTGACGTACATGGTGACACAGCGGTACAGGTACAACGTTCCGATGATAAAGAAGAACCTGCGCCCCACTATGGACCTGAGGGAATCAGAGGGATGAGGGGAGAAACAAGGTTACTCGCTGTTTCTGTCCCTACTGTTATACGAAAGAGTGTGTGACAGAATAAAAAGCAACGCAGAATGGCATTAACAGACCACGGTTTCACAGCTCACTTCTGAGCCGCCCCTCCCCACAATCCCACAGAGACGCCGCCCGGTCTTCACCCGCTGTCATCAGCCCAGTGGGCTGGGCCCAAGAGGAGTTGAGTTTGTGGGGACTGAGGGTTCTAGAAAAGCACCTCTCTGAAAAAAAGTCACTCTTTGAGGGAAAAATTCAATGAGCCGCTCTGTTTTCAGCCAACTCAGTGCATTAATAAAACCCTCCCGAGAACATATCAAAGGTATAAGCAACCCACAGCCACCGGGGAATTAACTGTAATGAGCTCAGGTCATGCCACATAATTGGACACGCAGGGAAATGGGACAACTCATTAGTCCTGTTATATAAGAAACAAGGCTTATTTGGGACCATCCAGAAGTATTTTGACAACCTGGGCATTAACTATTTTGTCTATGACGACACTATAGATTTTTCTGAGAATATGATGAAGATGTTCAGAGTATCCTTGTGCATGTAAGAATATTTAATAATGAAGTTATAAACTGATTAGTCTACCCTTATTCAATCTTGACGAAAAAAAGCAAAACAAAACAAAACAAAACAAAAAAAAACCCCAAAAAACAAACTCAAAAACAAAAAAATCCAAAACAAAAGCACCAAAAGTCCTTTTCCACTTTATAATTTTTGGCCGAGATTGTTGTCTTGACTGACATTAGCCCATCCTACACCATCTATGTCCTCGCTCTAAGACAGTGGTTCCCAGCAGTTGACCCTGAGTGCACTGTTCGTACCACAGCCGCAGAGGGACGGAGTGGGCATCAAAATGAAGATGGAAGCTCCTCTTCTGTTGTGTAGTTCAGGGGTGGGTCTACAGACTCTGGGCTCCGGGGATTAAGAGGCCGGTGGGATCCCTAGAATTCCCAGTTGGAACTTCCCTATTACACACACTCTATTATTTCAGGTCTCCCCTTTTCAGAGCTCTCAAACTTCCAAAGCTGGTAATGGTCAGACTTCTAGACAAACAGGCAGATTCATGCATGTGGCACATTTTTATGTATGTATGTATGTATATTTTAATCCTAACCCGAGGACAGACATGCTTATTTTGTGTGTGTGTGTGTGTGTGTGTGTGTGTGTGTGTGTGTGTGTGAGAGAGAGAGAGAGAGAGAGAGAGAGAGAGAGAGAGAGAGAACGAGAACATTGGCCAACATAGTCCCATGGGCCAGGAGAGAGAGAGAGAGAGAGAGAGAGAGAGAGAGAGAGAGAGAGAGAGAGAGACGAGAACATTGGCAACATAGTCCCATGGGCCAGGGCACATATTTTAAATTTTCTACGAAACTGATGTCTGAATAAAATATATGCTAGACTTCTCATTTAAAGGATCATGTACAAATATAATTTTAGATGCTTATTTCCAGTACCTATTTTAAGAATATTCCAGGGTTTCTGGGGCTAAAATAGAGAGGATCACCACCTCGAGGAGTTGATGAAAATATGTATTTATTGCAAGGCTCTGCTTTCAAAGGCTTGCTATTCAGGTTCTGCCTTTTTTAGCTCCGCAAGGGACAGGGCACAGACACGGCTGAGTCTCTCCATGTGGTTGAGTGAAAGATGATTCATGTTTTGATTCAACCTCAGGCCCCAAAGAGGTCTGAGCTGGGCTCCATGTGCTAGACAAGGGGAAGTGATAAGCAGGAATTATATGAGTCAATTATACTCATTCCAGCATTCTGAGTCCAGCTGTTGAGAAAATTAACTAAGAAGGTAAAGCATGCACTTCTGCAGCCTTGTTGAGGAAAGGAGCTACTACCAACGACATTCCCCAGAACCAAGAAGGAGCTTGAGAGAGAAAGAGAGATTTCTCATTCAGCCGGGATGCTCAAAGCAGGTTATAAAAATTACTCCACTAGTTCCTAAAGCATACACTCCAATTGTACCACAACAATGAAAAGAAAAATCAGTGTGATTTCCCCAGCATCTTTTCCATGGTGGGTTGTGACCAAAGCAGTATGTATGACTAAAATATGTAGCCAGCTGTGTGACCACAAGTTTTGACATGGTGAAATCTCAGGTAATAATGGAGGGGTAGTCAGCAACAATCAGGTGAAGATTCAAACAAACTAAGATCCTCAGGTTGGCAGCTAGAAAATTTCTTTTCACACAACATATGCATAAACTTGGCTCTAAATTAAAGGAGAAAGCGGGTCTTTGACCCAAGCAGTCTCTCTTCTATTCAGAGTAAATTCCAGACACAGAAAAGAAAAATGCTAAAGCTCAGTGTTGTGAAGGCTTATGTGGGGTGGGGGGCAACATGGGGGCGGGGTAGAAGGGGTCAATGGGGGTAAAAAGGGAGACATCTACAATACTGTCAATAATAAAGATAAACTTAAAAAATACACTAAAGTTCAACAAATATAGTTTACTTTTAGCATAAGCATGACATTACTGACAATTTTAGCGGCAAAAAATTCTACTAAGTAAAAGAAAACTGACAGCTATTTTACTCACACATATTAAGAAACATATTAAGAGACACACTTTAAGGAAAATGCTTAGGAATGACTTGTTGGTGGGCTAAGTTTTTGAAACTGAAAACTTACATGTAGGGGACTATTGAGCAAAAATAGATTGAATTCTTCTAACCTTAAAGCAACAACCAACTGAAAGAACAATAAATAGCATAAATTCCCTCTTCTAAAAATGACCTTGTGGCATCAGCATTGAAATCCTACTGACCTCTGAATTTTTGAATTGTACTGATTAAACCGGCATACATGACATTTTCAAAGGCCTCAGTTTGTGCCTAATGTTTTGATCAAACTTTTACTTTAGTGGTTTCATTACTAGCATCTTATTAGAGAACATCTATCTGAACACGAATAAGGCGAGAAGGGAAAGAGAAGGGCTTTATTTTTTTTTAGGGAATTAACAGGAAAGAAACCACCACTTGAGAGCTATGTCCTATTTTCTAGTGTCTTCAAAGCACAAGTACCTGGCTTAATACTTCCTGATTCTGCTATTCCCGAACAGGGAGACCGAAACCGGGAACTAAAAGCTCCTTTGTGGCGCCCTGGAAACCAGACGTTTGCTTTAGAAATCTAAAACCCAAACCGCACGGCCCGCTTCTAAATCCAGTTTCTGAGACGGATTCTTGGGGCTGGATCGCCCACAGGCCCATGGAAAAGAAGTGCAAAATGTGAGAACTCCTGAACAGAAGTAAACCTCAAAGCACACGCTCCCGTCTACGGTCTCATACAGTCATCGCATTGTGAGTGATGGGGAAAAAGCTCCCCACACGGCCCTGGCCCCACCTGTCAGGAGCCTGAAATAATTCAGGCATGATGAAGCCAATGTTCCTACTCCCCACGGCTCTTGATTTATCACACAAATACCACAGTGCCGCGTTGCCTGAAATCAGAACTGCACCTTAAATTCACAAACCCTGAGTCATCCACCACAGCACCTCTGTTCCTTCCTATACAACTGTCACTTTCAGGCACCTACGTGCTTATTGAGTAGTGACTGGTTGTCCAATGTGGCAGGCAGGCCTTTCTCGTGATTCCTTTCATCGAGTGCCTGGATAAGACAGAACTGATGAGGCAAAAACCAAGAAAGGTAATTCCAGGCAACACATCTGCTCACATCAGTACAATGGTGCATTCCCCGCAACACGCTCCCAAACAACCCCAAACGTGTCTCAGACCTACTTACTTGTATCTCAGAAAAAGCCACTGGGTGATCCAGAGTCCAACTAATATAATCCCATTGATTTCTGATACAGAAAACGCCCACGTCACCCGGTCGATGTAATCGAAGAACTTGTCCGGGAGCGGCGGGCTGAGCTCCTTGGGAGGCACCCGCTCGTGCACGACCGTGATCATGACGGTGGTCAAGACCAGGTTGAAGAGCGCGTACACGAAGGCGACGCCCGTCTTCCACCACTCCAGGGGGAACTTGCTCCTGGAGTCTGTGGGCATGGAGATCTGGATGTAGTCCGGGTACTTCTTGGCGCCCTTCCGCAGCCCGTTGGGTAGGCTCTTGGGTTTCCCGTTGCCATTTTTCTCCTCTTCCTCGGCAGGCTCCGCGGGCCGTGGGTACGTGGTGGCCGGATCGTTGGTTTGGTTTTCCATGTGCTCCTCAAGCTTTGCTGTCTCTATGACATCCATTGTGTCCCTCCCTACCCCCACCCCCCAGGCTTCAGATCCAAAAGGAGACGGGAATGTTCTCAGTAGACACGTTTTCTAATCCTTCTGTTTCCAGGATAAACACGGGCTCTCCGACCGATTCTGTCTCCTGGCGTGAAACGCAGACAGCGGCCCCCAGATGCCGGGGCCTCCCATGCAGCGCTCCGTTCAGGGACGCGGGCCAACTGTCTTCCCCCCGAGACCTCACTGCGACTCCTGTGAGAACAAAGCAACACTACGGTCAGGAACCGTGCCCCTCCAACTGCCACCCATCCAAAAAAAGAACACGATAAAAACATGGAAACCAATACCAAAGCTGTTCGCTTTTTACAAAGGTATCGTCAGAACATCGTTAGAGCTGCCGAGATGGATGTATAGAGTACTGCATTGGTGTGCTTCGGAATTCTTCTCTTTCTCGGCTGATGTCAGTATAAATCGGAACATTTTAATAATCAATTCTTTCTAAGTTTCTTTACAAAGAAGCCAGGACCCAACACTGCAGCCACTTCATCGGCCACGGACACCTGTTGCTAACCATGAAGTCACAATAAGCTGGAACCTCCCCCGATCACATCACTCCTTCCTAAGACTGCATCTTTTCCAGGACCCTGACAGGATAAAAAGCTGTGACGAATGCCCCGCCACCGGTGTGGCCTAGTGGTGGAGCTCAGACGCTTGAACCAGGAGGTCGCCAGTTCCATTCTGAGTCAGGGCACATGCCTGGGCTGCATGCAGGAGGCAGCGAATTGAAGCTTCTCTCTCATCAATGTTTCTATCTTTCTGTCCCTCTCCCTTCGTCTCTAAAAAAAAAAAAAAAAAAAAAAAAAAAAAAAAAAAAATCAAACCTGGTTGGTGTTGCTCAGTGGTCATGGTTTGATTCCCGGTCAGGGCACATGCCCGGGTTGGGATGTGCAGGAGGCAGCCAATCAATGATTCTCTCTCATCATTGATGTTTCTATCTTTCTCTTACTCTCCTTTTCTCTCTCAAATCAATAAAATATATATATATATATTTTAAAAACCAATAAATACATATTTTTTTAAAAAAACACTGTGATGATTACATGCTCTGAATAACTGTTACCCTCTGCATTTGACAAAAAGTCAACTTTATATTTTCTTTTTAAAACTCTGGAATCTTGTTCTGGCTGGGTGGCTCAGTTGGTTATTTCTCTTCTTGAGACCCAACCTATGCACCAAAAGGTTGTGGGTTCGATTCCCAGTTAGAACACACACTTAGTAGGTTTGCAGGTTCAATCCCTAGTTGGGGCTCACATGGGGGGGCAACCAATCAATGTTTCTCTCTCTCTCTCTCTCTCTCTCTCTCTCTCTCTCAAAAAATCAATATACATATCCTCAGGTAAAGATGAAAAAAACACACACACACAAAAAAAACCCTGTAATCTTTTTAAGTGACCACTTCAGAATATTTGAGAACTAAATGACACTGCCTCAGTTCACCCTTTTATAGTCAGAGACGCACACCGTACACCCGGAAAGCGGACAGCCTTCGAAATAATGCAAAGCCTTAGAGACACAAAGCCCGAGCTATATCTCATTGAGGTGACACACCCCACTTGTTTCCTGCAGGATAAAAGCACACACCACAACCGGCATGGCGAAGTAGTCACATTTGGACGCAGCCACCACAACCTCACAGCAGACGCAGGCACCACGAGGACCGCGCGGGCACTTACCCGCGGCCCCGGGGAGGGAAGGCCGCCTTCAGCAGAAGCTCCACGGGCTCCGGAGAGCAGAGATGGCTCCGCAGCCCAGAGCACCAGCACCCCCTCTTTATACGCGCCGGCCACACGGCCCAGCTGTTCTCAATTTAGGAAAGCAGCATTTAGCCAGCCTGCGGCCCGGCCACCTGAAGGGACTCCCAAGCCTTCTAATTAGTCCTCGGCCCGAGCACCCTGTACAATTTAAGCACAATCCTCTGCATTTTAGAGGCCCCTCTTTCAGGGTAACTTCAGGGAAACATCAAGGAGGAGGAGGAAAAACTCAAAGCGGTGACAGCTCAGCCTTCATTTGCCGAGAGGGAAAAAAAAAAAAAAAAAAAGTTGTTAAAATGACACAGTTAATAAGTACAGGCCACGTTTGTTGGGAGCCGGGGATGGTAAACAGAGTGACCACAAGTGTTGACTGTGCACCCAAATGCCCCAGTGGTGAGGGGGACCAGGGCAAATTAAAAGGAGTTAAAAGAAAAAAAAAACAACGAAATGACTCCGGCCTGAATAGCCGCCCACAGGGCTCCCGGTTCTAACCGAAGGGACCAGACTATTTGGGGAGACTGAAGGGCACGTTGTGCAGGGAACGAGGTGGTTCCTGGACAAAGGCAGCTTTACCCTCTCCTGCTCCCCTGAAGGGTCTTGTCCACAGAGAGGCTCAGGCCGTCCGGAGGAGGCAGACGCCGGAGCAAGGTGGGCCTGGCAGAGACCCGAGGGACGGAGGACATACGTTGCTGCCGAGGGAGAGCACTAAGCATCTCGGACATGTCACTTACTCTGGTCCCTGTGAACACCCCCGCGGCTGGCACACGGGCGTCGGATGAGAAAGAAGCCCTCTCCCTCTGTAAAATGGGGCTCCCTGACACTCTCTGTGGCAACCTAAACATAACAAAGAGGTGCCTCAGGAAGGCAAGGTCAACAGCAAACCTTCCACACCCCGGGGGACTATTCCTAACGGAGGGAGCAAAGCACCAACGCAGCCATTACCTGTCTCGTTTTACCAACTCTAGGCTATCCCAGTCATCGCATCTTGCCAAACGCCACCCAAATGTCCCCCACTTTCCTGTTCCACATTCTGTTCCAAATGCGAGCCTGGCATTTGTATGGGAAAGAAGCCTGTGATTTTAAAACCCAGGGCCATCCATGGACACACAGATGGTCTTTAGAAGGTGGCTACCCTGTTCTAGAACACGGAATGTGGAACAGAAAAAAATCCAATTAGTCACTTTTTTTTTTTTTTTTAAAGAGGAAGTGCTCTGCCACTCACCTCATGGGACAACGGTGAGGATGACTGAAATAATTAATCTTGAAGAGCTCTGTGCTCCTGGGAGTAAGAGCACTCTGTGAGGGCAGAACCCATTTGTCGTCATTAGTGGCTCGATTGATATTTTCCTTGGGACTTCATTAGGAAGATACAATACACTAACCACAATCAGCAAGTGTCAGCCAATCCCGGGCCCACTGTTTGTCAGCGAGATGATGATTACGACAGACTCATTCCTGTGGTCACCCTGCCCTGCCAGTAAGTTTCTGGGGAAGTGACAAAGGCCTCAGTGCTTCCTCTCCATGGATGGCAATCCCATTAGCTCATTTGCTTAGGGCGCTATACCTGAGCACAGGGCGGATGGAGGGCTCTCAAGGCCTCTTACCCTGCAAAGTACTAGACGTTAACCTGGATAATTAAAGAGCTAAAGATCTCTAGAAACTAACCTTCCTTTGGAAGACAAATGCAAAACTCTGAATCTTTTAGTTCACCGATATTGTTTTGCTAAGGTGTTTTTTTTTTTTTGTTTGTTTGTTTTTAGAAATAGGTATGATTTATTCCAGAAATGCAAGGAAGGTTTCGAATTGATAAATGATTGTAATAAAATATATGTAAAAATATATCATCTTGAGTGAAATCAAAAAGGCATTTGATAAAAAAAAAACTTTTGGGAAAGTTTTCGGTAGTAGAAATAGTAGTATACTCTGAGTGGCCAGATTATGATGATCTCTGAACACATAATAATCTGGCCACTCAGTGTATATCCTATATAATAAAAGGCTAATATGTAAATTGTCCCCTTGACCAGGAGTTTGACCAGCAGGCAGGCCGGCCAACTGCCTAGGTCCCCTCCCCCTGGCCATGCTGGCTGGACCCCATCCATGCACGAATTCATGCACCAGGCCTGTAATGTCACACACACACACATACATACACACACACACACACACACACACACACACACACGGAAACAAGGGCACCTGCCTTAAGAGTCATGGGTTCTATCTCAGAAGCACCACAACATTTGTTAAACATTTTTACTAGAGTGTTTTTGAAACCTGAAAAGAAGACACATGCTTTCTAAAAAAAAATCATGTATATACTAGCATGTGTGTGAAATATTTTCCCAATAAAAGTAACATGGAGAAGAGTCCTTGAAAGACCAGCAGACCCCACACTTGTATAAGTAACGGATAGATTTAAATTAGGGAAAGGGGCGGGCTTGTGTGGTAGCTTGGTGACACTATTCTGAGAATAGGTTATAGAAAACATTTTATTTTATTTTTTAAAATATTTTATTGATTTTTTTACAGAGAGGAAGGGAGAGGGATAGAGAGCTAGAAACATTGATGAGAGAGAATCATCGACCAGCTACCTCCTGCACACCCCCATTAGGGATGTGCCTGCAACCAAGGTACATGCCCTGGACCGGAATCGAACCTGGGACATTTCAGTCCGCAGGCTGATGCTCTATCCACTGAGCCAAATTGGTTTTTGCAGAAAACATTTTCTTAATGTCAAAAACAGAACTGAAAAGTCAGTTACTGCCTTTCTGAACTTTGGGAGAGATAGGCTTGGGTAGAGGATAGACCAAAAATATCCCATGTGAATGTAGATTGGACAATATCAGTTCTGTATCCAGTTGTTGTAAGAGAAAGATATACCTATCAAGAGTGGTTACCTAGAATGGCAGGTGGGAATGAAGAGCAAATTGGCTGGAAGTTTCTTTCTTTCTTTTTTCTTTTTAATTTTTTACAGAGAGGGATAGAGAGCTAGAAACATTGATGAGAGAGAATCATCAATAGCTGCCTCTTGCACACCCCCTACTGGGGATGTGCACAAAACCAAGGTACATGCCCTTGACCGGAATCAAACCTGAGACCTTTCAGTCCGCAGGGCGGCACTCTATCCACTAAGCCAAACCAGTTTCGGCGAGGCTGGAAGTTTCTTTTCGGGTGATGGAAATATTCTAAAAAATTAGTGACGAT